ATTTGAGGTGGAAAAAGCCTCTGTATAATATAGTAATGTATTCTCTGGTAAGAATAACTTATTTTAATACTAATTACTAATCATGATATAACTTATTCATGCAAGATTGGTAACCAAATAAAGAATAAAGCTATATTAATTTCTTATCTCAAAACTATCTATACTTGTCTAGCATACCAAACCACCCATATAGTTTCTCAGCTTCATTTTCAATCAAATCATTTAGTTTTACTGTTTAATTTAATTTTTTTTGTTTATTGCTTTTTCCCTATTCGTTTCTTCCGTCCACTTTTAATTGTCATGGTTTCTATTTTTAGAGTCAAACTATAAGAACTTTGACTAACATTTTAAGATGTATTTTTCCATCATATTGATATGACAAAAAAATTGCAATTTATAGTACTTTTCATATAGTTTTTGATCATCTAAATTTTTTGTTTAAAATATCGAATTAATGTAATCTAATTTAACTTTGAAAATTAGTCAAATTGACTTTCGAAAAGCGCAACATAACAAATAAAAGTAGACAGAGGGAGTACTTTTTTGTTGAGTGGGTAAAATTGATTCGTGAAATCCACATAAAAATGATTTTTGTACGGAATATTAGTATATACCACTACTTAATTATAAAGTTGTTTTGAGTGACGGCACCAAAAAAACAACTAACAAATAATTAATGTGATTTTCTGTACATGGTAAGGATACAACTAACATTATGAAAGATTTTTTAAAAACTTAATTAAGTATTTTCCAATGTACCAAAAGAAGATATTTAACATTATTAGTAGTCTATTTATATGACAGAAGCTAAAACAAACAGTTTGGCTTAGCAAAAGAGAAGAGAGAAGCTACAATCTAAATGGTAAGTAAAATTAGCAATTATATGTTTTTAGCATATGAAGTATTTTCCAAAATTAAGAAATGTTTGGCTAAAATGTAAATAGTTTTATTTTGATAACTGTTGCAGGGGATTTGCAGAAATGTCAAGACTGAAGAAAATCAACTTCAAAAGAAGGGGGGAACTAGAGCAGCTCTTTTTGTCTATGGTAAGCATATTTCAAGTATATAATTGTTTAACTCTCTTGACATAGAGCGGAATTCAATTGAAGTCCCTTCGTCGAAGAATAATATTATGCTTATATATGGAGTAGTATGGGCGGAGCCACCTTAGACGAAGGATGGTCTGGTGCACAGTGCACACCCTTCTCTAGGGAATTATGTGGTGAATAGAGATTAAATGTTAGCTATAATGAGTTATGTGGTGTATAGAGATTAAATGTTAGCCATAATGAGTGTATTTTTTAATAATTTAGGGGAAACTTTTATATTCTAGTGGTCAAGTAGCTCAATTTTTTCTTTGAGTTGTAGGTTTGAATAAAGATATAACACATGGGCCTAACTCGATGGGTCTGACTCTAATACCATGTAAAGATATGGCACCTAGGCCTAACTCAATCCCAATAACTAGCTCGATTTGTCCAAGTCCATATAAGGAGACCAAATTCCCATCCCTCTACGGATGTGGGACTTCTTAACCGAAACCACTCGCAAGAAATCCTGACCTCCGCCACTGATTTTGACTATGGAGTTTTGATATTCTGATATCTGATTATGCAGTTGTGGCGGGGGTTGATACCATGGCTTTTATTTCAAAGGGTGTGAGCCTGGTGACTTACTTCTCTGGGTATATGAACTTCAGCTTAACAAAATCTGCCAACACTGTGACAAACTTCATGGGAACAGCGTTTTTGCTCTCATTATTTGGAGCTTTTCTCTCAGATACTTACTTCTCCAGATTCAAGACTTGTGTTCTATTTAGCATCATTCAAGTTTTGGTACTTGTTTATTTATACATCTTCCCTATGAAAGAGAAAAACATATATATTTCAAAGGTCCGTGCAGGATCATGAACTGACTTTGATCATTCTTTCAATGTTAGGGATATGCACTACTAGGAGTTCAAGCGCATTTCAGCCAACTGAGACCATTTCCCTGCAAGGATGTACCTTTAAGCCAAAACGATCGATGTGAATCTGCAGATGCAGGCCAATTGGCAATCTTGTATGGAGGTGTTTATCTGATAGCACTTGGAAACAGTGGAGTAAAAGCAGCTTTGCCATCATTGGGTGCTGATCAATTTGATGAAAAGGATCCCAAAGGGGCTGCTAAGCTATCAAGTTACTTCAATTGGCTGCTGTTCTTCATCACCATTGGAGCCATGCTTGGAGTTACATTGTTTGTTTGGATAGGTGACAATCAGGGATGGGATTGGTCATTTGGTATCTCCTCTGTAGCAGTTGGATTGTCAATCCTACTCTTGACCATGGGAAAACAGTTCTACAGATACAATGTTCCTAAAGGAAGCCCTCTGATGCGTATTTCGCAGGTTCTTGTTGCAGCTTTCAGAAACAGAAATCTCCCACTACCACAAAACAAAGAAGATTTACATCAGATCAGAAGTGGAGAGGCTGAAAATGGAATAGAGATTATTCAAAGGACTGATCAATTCAAGTATTTAATAACACCTTTATAGTTTCAGTTTCCTGTTGACATGTTGCTTTACTTAACCAAATTTTCCACAATATGTACAGATGTTTGGACAGGGCAGCCATACCGAGGAACAACCAAGAAGCATCCACATCAAATGCTCATGGACCATGGAGCCTTTGTACTATCTCACAAGTTGAAGAAACAAAGATTGTAGTCAGAATGCTACCAATTATACTGAGCACCGTCTTCATGAACACTTGTATGGCTCAACTCCAGACCTTCACTATCCAACAAAGCATGACAATGAACAGGAAAATTGGAAACTTTGAACTCCCAGCGCCTTCCATACCTGTAATTCCTCAAATATTCCAACTCATCATGATCCCAGTCTATGATCGCATCTTTGTTCCGATAGCAAGAAAATTCACAGGGATCCCTTCTGGGATTCGACAACTGCAACGTATAGGTGTTGGGCTAATACTTTCAATAGTATCTATGGCAGTGTCTGCAGTTGTAGAAAGTCGCCGGAAATCAGTTGCCATTGAGCATAACATGGTTGACTCAGCCAATCAATTACCTATGAGTGTGTTCTGGCTTGGATTTCAATTTGTAATATTTGCAACAGCTGAAATACTTACATTGGTAGGGCTGTTGGATTTCTTCTATGCAGAGAGCACATCAGGCATGAAATCACTGAGTATGGCCATTACTTGGTGTTCACTGGCATTCGGGTACTTCACAAGCTCAGTAGTGGTGAGTGTAATTAACAAGGTGAGTGGTGGCTGGTTAGCTAATAACAACTTGAACAGAGACAAGCTCGACTACTTCTACTGGTTGCTCGCAGCAGTCAGTGTGCTGAACTTTGGCTTCTACTTACTCTGTGCTTCTTGGTACAAGTATAAGAAGCCAGAACTGAACCAAGAAGGTCCTATCTCTGATGAGAAGCCTAAGGGAAAAACTGAAATGCGTGTTGTTTAGAATTTATGAATCGTCATGATGTTCAACCTAAATTATGTCATATAATAATAAAATGTGATTGTGAACATATTACATTGTCCAAGTAATCCTGTTTCACTGGTTTTGTTGGAAAATCCCTTTACACATACAAATAGAATCATAAAACTCATTAGAGAATCAGAACACGCAACGGTTAATACAGCCCCTAAGGGGCTAACTCAGGATCAGCTTGTCAATGCTCTCTTTGTTGCTAATGATGTTTGGATCCTTTCAAGCATTCTTTCAAACAGGTTGTGGGTAATGTAGTGTATGTTTTAACCTGAAATTTCCTATTCAGCACATATTCTTTCAGACAGGTTGTGCATAATGTTAGTCAAAAATATTATAATTAAATAATTGGAGCGGGTATCAATAAGATAATTAAAATGGATATCTTATTATCTGTTAAAAAAATAGTTTAAAACAAAAATTAGAGTCAACAAAATTTAATCAAAAATCATTAAAGATTAATTGGGTGACTTTCTAAGTAAAATATCAATAGTTTAGTGACTTTCTAAGTAAAATATCAACTACTGAGTTATAAAATGAAGCTGACTGACTTTCTAAGTAAACTATTCAAAGTTGAGTGAGCATTTGAGATATTATCTCCATAATGTTGTCAAAGTTCTCTATATTCTCATGTTTCATACTTACGCCTCACTTCCTCCTACATAAAATGCCTCGTCTTGTGCCCCGACTTTTAAAAACACTAATGTTACTCTCAACAAACTTTCTGAGTACAATTTATTAGGATTTGTTTGGTTTGAACACAAGTTATTTTGGGGTTTAATTATCTGAAATTAGCTCGACTGTTTAGTTTGTTATATTAAAAATAAATATAATATATAAAATGCCCTTTAACTTGATCTCAATTGACATCTATGACCTCGAACTTTGAGTGTGCGCAAGTAAACACTTAAACTTGATCCCTTGTTATATTTCATCTTCATTTTCGTTCAATCAAATCAATAAATGATAATCAAACATGAGTTTTATAGTGCCAATTAGATTAGAAAAATGTTTGATTTTATTTTACTTTTTGTGTTTTGCTTTTTCCTTTGACGTTTCTTCCTTTTTCTCTTTTTTTGTTGAGTGCGTGGATATTATTTTTAAAAGATAAGATATTCAAAAAATCCAAAATAAATTGCTTCATGAAAGTTTCGTAACAATAATTTTGCATGAGAAAAAGAAAATTGAACAAAAGTAGAGGCTACCTAAAAAGTTCAACATTATTAGTAGTAGTTTATATTTATTTATTACAAGACAAGAAGCAAACAGAAAACTACTCTCAAGTTGAGTTTGCCAAAACATAGATATATATACATCTCAAAGTATTTGTCACATTTAAGTTTGGATTGCAAATAAGAATCTGCAATAGAAATGGTAAGCTGCCTTTGTAATTGTATGTTTTTAGCATATGAAATATAAGAATTGTATTTTCCAAAATTAAGAAATGTTTGGCTAAATAGCTGTAAATAGTTTAATTTGATAATTATTGCAGGGAATTTGCAGAAATGTCAAGACTGGAAAAGAAACTTCAAAGCAAGGGGGAACTAGAGCAGCTCTTTTTGTCTATGGTAAGTATCTAATTGTTTAACTTTCTTGATAGGAGGGAGATTCAATTGAAGTCCTTTCGTCGAAAAAACTAATATATGTGATGATGGTTAGGGGTTAAAATTCCTGGCTCCACCGTTGATCTTTAACTTTGGAGTTCTGATATTCTTACATCTGATCATGCAGTTGTGGTGGGGATCAATACCATGGCTTTGATTTCAAATGGTGTGAGCCTGGTGACTTACTTCTATGGGTATATGAACTTCAGCTTAACAAAATCTGCCAATACCGTCACAAACTTCATGGGAACAGCATTCTTGCTCTGATTATTTGGAGCCTTTCTCTCAGATACTTACTTCTCTAGATTCAAGACTTGTGTTCTGTTTGGCATCATTAAAGTTTTGGTACTTCTTTATTTTTACATCTTGGTTATGCAAGAAAACAAATTATATGTCCATGCAGGATCAAGAATTGACTTTGATAATTCTTTCAATCTTAGGGATTTGCACTACTAGCAGTTCAAGCACATTTCAGTCAACTGAGACCATTTCCCTGCAAGGATGTACCTTTAAGCCAAAACAATCTATGTGAATCTGCAAATAGAGGTCAATTGACACTCTTGTATGGAGGTGTTTATCTGATAGCACTTGGAAACAGTGGAGTCAAAGCGGCTTTGCCATCATTAGGTGCTGATCAATTTGATGAAAAGGATCCCAAAGGGGCTGCTAAGCTATCAAGTTACTTCAATTGGCTACTGTTCTACAGCACCGTTGGAGCCATACTTGGCGTTACAGTTTTAGTCTGGATAAGTGACAATCAGGGATGGGATTGGTCATTTGGTGTCTGCTCTGTAGCTGTTGGTTTGTCAATCCTGCTCTTGACCATGGGAAAACAGTTTTACAGATGCAATGTTCCTAAAGGAAGCCCTCTGATGCGCATTTCACAGGTTCTTGTTGCAGCTTTTAGAAACAGAAATCTCCCACTGCCACAGAACAAAGATGATTTACATCAGATCAGAAGTGGAGAACCTGAAAATGGAACTGAGATTCTTCAAAGGACTGATCAATTCAAGTACTTAATAACACCTTTTTAGTTTCAGTTTCTTGTTGGCATATTGCTTTACTTAACCAAATTCCCATAATATGTGCAGATTTTTGGACAGGACAGCCATACTGAGGAACAACCAAGAAGCATCTACAACGAGTGCCCATGGACCATGGAGCCTCTGTACTATCTCACAAGTTGAAGAAACAAAGATTGTAGTCAGAATGCTCCCAATTATACTGAGCACCGTCTTCATGAACACTTGTATGGCTCAATTCCAGACCTTCACAATCCAACAAAGCATGACAATGAACAGGAAAATCCAAAACTTTGAAATCCCAGGGCCTTCCATACCTGTAATTCCTCAATTGTTCCAACTCTTCCTGATCCCAGTCTATGATCGTATCTTTGTTCCAATAGCAAGAAAATTCACGGGGATCCCTTCTGGGATTCGACAACTTCAACGAATAGGTGTTGGACAAGTACTTTCAGCAGTTTCTATGGCAGTGGCTGCAGTTGTAGAAAGTCACAGGAAATCAGTTTCCATTAAGCATAACATGGTTGACTCAGCCAGTCCATTACCTATGAGCGTGTTCTGGCTTGGATGCCAATTTGTAATATCTGCAATGGCTCAAATATTTACATTGGTGGGATTGATGAATTTCTTCTATGCAGAGAGCACATCAGGCTTAAAATCACTGAGCATGGCCATTTCTTGGTCTTCGCTGGCATTTGGATACTTCACAAGCTCAGTAGTGGTGAGTGTAATTAACAAGGTGAGTGGTGGCTGGTTAGCTAATAACAACTTGAACAGAGACAAGCTCGACTACTTCTATTGGTTGCTAGCAGGAGTCAGTGTGCTGAACTTTGGTTTCTACTTACTATGCGCTTCTTGGTACAAGTATAAGAAGCCAGAACTGAAGCAAGAAGATCCTATCACTGATGAGAAGGCCAAGGGAATTACTGATGTTTGACCCAAATTATGTCATATAATAATATTGTGGTTGTGAACATATTACATAGTAGTCCAAGTAGTCCTGCATCAGTGGTTTTAGTTGATCAAATATTCCAAGGTGCAAACCATATCTATAGGAGAAGAAATCCTGGCATGAAAGTTTGAGACTTGAATTGTTAATTGATGTAAGTACCCTGTTGCAGCAGAATGTAATACATTCCAACCATTCTAATCTATCCATTGCTAAACCACTCCTTGCTATATTTAGTTTTGAATGTCTTGTTATTTAGTTGCCATTGACACTGAAAGAACTTGGTCTTACAATGCATTTCTTCTTCTTCTGTTTCGCCTTTTTTAAATACCAGAGCTAGGACAAAGTAGCTAAGTTAAACTTTAAGCAATTAACTGGTCGTAAAAGAATAAGGACTGTGAAAAAGTGGATTGTGTCGGCAATCCCACAGACAAAGCAAACGTGTTAGAAATCAAGGGTACTTGGACAGTTAACATCCTGAATTGCATACTTTAAAATCTGGGTTTTCTACTGACAGAATTTAAGTTCTCGCACATAAATAAGCAGCATCACATCCTCATCTGCTAGTAACCCAGGATGAATGGAGCAAGCACCAGATCATGATGCAAGACCCTGTTAACTGGACCACAAGCCAATTGCAGACTCTCAAAGACATGTTGGCTCTATCCTAAGGGGCAATCCCTCCCACTCAACATTTCCCTCAAAAGATAAGTTAGAGAGCACAAATTAAAGGCTAGTAGAGCAAGGATTATCTGATGTGAACTTGGGACATAGGTAAAGAAGAGACCTACCATTTTAGAGGTTCCTTTAGCTAGTTCATGTAATTAGGGAAATTCACATGAACCTCTTAATCCAAGCATTCATTTAGTGCATTTGGAAGCAAGTGATAAACTTTCATAAAGCAGGGTAAAACTCATCTTCAATCTCGAATAATTGTCACTTCTTCAGATTTATAAAGCAGGGTAACTCATTCCTTTCCAACCACTGTTTTTTAAATAGTTCCTTTCCAACGACTTTCAATATACAAAGGATATGATGTACAAATTAGGTAACCATTTTCAATTTTCACGGTAAGGAAGATAAGAATCTAAATTACGGCAGGCCAGGACTAGATATAAATTTCCCTACCATCTAACATCCAATGTTAAGGGCTCTGGTGGGACAAGAAAAGAAGAAATTTTGGTGAAGGACATATTTGACATCAAATTACTCCAAGACGATGAATCTACTTCAATAAAAGGTCTGACCTTCTTAATCAAACGTGGCTTCAAGATCTCTGCCTCAAACCTTGCTGTTACTTCAAACCATGAATGTTCAACAGCTGGCCTTGTTCTCCACTCCCCCAAAGTAGTCCAATATGTGTCGTTGTTTTGAATACCTCTTTCCAGCTCTAACTGGAAGCGGAAAAGGGTCAAGTCTTTAACTTTCACTTTTATGAGATTGAAACGTGCAATTTCACTGGTTTTTCCACCTAGAAACCTCCTTAGAATTTTTTCCAGTAATGTTATCTTCTGGCTCAGAAAATCATTGTACAAGCTCCACTTTCTGTAGATATGCCTTGTATAACATTTTTCAGAAAGCAACTTGATAGATCTTTTGGATACAGACGCAGTTTCAATTCTTAAGTCGGGGTTTCTGGTTATATAGGCAAGTACTGAAGCAGGTCCCCTTACATGTACGGGAAGTAATGGTATGCAGGACGATTGCGACATATATCTAAATTGACCACTTCCTGACTTGGTCAAAATGCTTCCATTTACTAATTTAAGCAAATCAGAGATGTTGAACATTGATATTTCATCAGCACCTTTAACTTCTACAGTGATGCCCTCACCAACAAGGATCTTTTTCAACCCAGTATAGGAAGAGTTCAGCTGTTAAAAAGGTAAATAACATAATGTTGTTAGCCCACCATGAAAACACATAATGATTAGAAAAATCTTACTTTCAGTGCTCGAATAGAACACATAAGGCATCAACTCATGACGAATCACAATAAAGCAACTAGCTGCAAACTAGCAAGAAGAGATCAAAGCACAAATCTATATCCATTTTAAGAGAATATGTCAAACATCAACATCCAAACAGGCTAGATATGTCAACATGTCCAGGCACAAAGAAAAGATTTTCTCTGTGATACAACATGATAATATTCCTATACACGAAGAAACATAATAGATAGAAGATCATTCACAGAGAACATACGCTAGTTTGGCATTTTCTCCCTACTACAGTCAATACATTGAACAAATATATGATGCAACCACAAATTTGATGTTCTCTCCCTGTGAAAGAGTCGAAGTTCGAGAAAAGCTGCATCTAAAGAAGTTCTGTGCATATGCAGCAGCTCTGTTTTGGACTAAACTACATCAGCCTATAACAACTTCTGCCGATATAATTGCAGATTCCTTTCTAGAATCTGATATGTCAATTAAAACATCAAGTTGAGTTAGCACTCCATAAATATGCTGAACCTAAGTACTTCCGGAGTTTTGGCCAGTAGTACATTGATATGCAAAGAGTTTTAAAAACTACATGGTGGATTTGATTTAGCAAATGCAGAAAATAAGCCGGGTGGACAAGTGTCATGGGAGAAGATTGCTTCATCTAACTGTCTACTTCACCAGGCACTCCAATATAAGGATCAACAACCAAATATTACATCTTTAAGATAGTATAGTTACAACACAACCATAGTTTTGCAACCAATCTGAGTGGATCTACGATTTCAAGTCAGTGACAGTTAAGTACCACTACTCATTTGTAACAGTGGGTGCAAGTTCACATTTTTATACTATACACATAGAACTACAGCAGTACAGCTGAACTGGGTGTTAGCCACTACTCCTTTGTGATGACGGGTGAAGCCTTGGTGTGTGTATACATTTAAAAAAATTCAACCATATAGATAGAGCTTCTACCCACTACTCTTTCTGACTACGGATGCTGCCTTATTATGCGTATGTATTTAAAAAAATTCAATTATATGCATAAAACTCGAGCTGAAGTGGGTGCACCAGTAAATCCTTTCAGGTGTATGCAGCCAATTACATCCAAATACAAGACACAAATGCAGCTCAGGAAACAACATTAGATAGGAAGCAGAGACCATCTACAGGAAAACTATCTGATGTAACTTGCAAAATGTACTGCTACAAACAAAGGCAATATTAAAGGATTCGGGGAACATACGGGAAAGGTCAAGGAGAGGTAATCATCTCCAGTAGCGTATAATTCGAATGGCCCTTGGATTTTTAGGACATCAAGAGTGACCTTGGAACCAATCTCTTTAACCAAAGACTCGAAGTCGGATTCATTTTTGTTAGGAAAGTGAAAGCTTTTCCACTGAGATACTTCGTCTGCCATCATGAATACGAATTCCGTCTTCCCAATTCTGACCCGAAACTCATACTTCCTGAAAGTCCCAAACTTTGACTTCTTTACATCCAATTTGGAAACTCTCAAGTCCTGTAAATCCCATTTCTCTCTCTCAGCAATTCCCTCTAACACGTCCTGAATAACATATACAAATAGAACCATAAATTAGAGAAACAGAACAAATAATAGTGTAATTAGTCAAAACCCATTAGAGAAACAGAGCAAATAACAGTAATTAAGCAAAACACATTAGAGAAACGGAACAAATAACAGTAATTAGTCAAAACCCATTAGAGAAACAGAGCAAATAACAGTAAATACACAAACCCATTAGAGAATCTGAACAAATAACAGTAATTAGGCAAAAACCCAGTTGGATAATTGAACAAAACCTCGAGAAATGAAGGAGGATTAGGTGAAGATTGGGGATATTCCTCGTAGTTGATTCTTGGATAAAGGAAGTGAGAGATGTTGAAAGGTATGGTGGATGAAGTGGCAATTGAAACTGGAAATGGGGATAGAGTAAACAGGACCAAAAAGAGTAGGAGAAAAATAGTAGTCGAAGAAGAAGGGAAATGGATCATTGTCGGTCTTTGAGTTTGCTCTGCAATGGCGATGGGATTAACAAGCTTTGCTTTTTCTGCAGAGAACAATCAGATCTTCACAGGGAGAAGGAAAATGACTATTTGGGACACTGCAGTACATGATTGTACATCATGAATTATGCGTAGTGCCAAGTCAATAAGTTTACGTATAATATTTATTACGTAAACAAATTTCAAATGGATATCCGAATTCCTTTTCTTTTTTTTTAGTTCTATACCTTTTTTTACGAAATCTTTTCATTTTTACACGTAAAGACTTTGAAATTGTTATTTTCATAAAAAAAGCAATTCAATATATGTTTGTATCCTATTTTTCGTTAGATTTCATACTCCGTCAAATATTGTCATTTTAAATTTGGGGAAAAAAATCAAATGCATCCTAAATTTGTTCCGAAGAATTAATTACACACTTAAATTGAGTGAAGAGGTATAAGACCGGCACAATAGGTTGAGAGTGTCATCAACTTATCGTGCATTTGATGTCTACACAACCATTTTAGCAATTCATATATTTGCCACACTCATCTTGTTGGACTGTTTGCATGACATTTAAGTTGTAACACTACTGGCTTACAATCATTTTATAGAACTTTCGTTTCACTATATTATAGCTCATTCATAGATATTGGAATAGCCAAAAAGATAAAAGGGTAGCGCTAAGAAGCCAAGAAAACTCATCTCAAAAGGATGGCAAATCTTGAGGCTAATTGCCTTCGCAATTCAAAACAATATATGCCACATCTTAAGGTTGTGCACTTGTAAGTTCATAACTTAACACTGAAGAAAATTGTTACATAGAGACCATACTTCATAATTCACTACATTCAGCACGAATACAAGCAAATATTAAACATGTTCGGCCTCAGAATATTGTGTCACGATTTACAGCTGAAACTTTGTTGGGTCCATATAGACACCATCGTGTCTCCCCTAGTCTGTTTCTCCACTCCACGGTTTAGGAGAAAGGGAAAATGTTCCAGTTCTTCAGATCATGACAACTGAGTCGCTAATTCCAATGATCAGCTTTATCTCTGAGACTTTCCACTACATAAAATTGCAGAAACACCCAATATAGGGCCCTTGAGAAAAACAATCACACAGGCGGATTAAGATAATCCATCCTCAAAGTTGGTTGTTCAAATTGTGGATCGAACAACAGCAGGTGGGATGGGAAAGATTATACAGCTGATCCAATGAGCCAGAAGGCAGTGAATGATCAGTAAAAGAATAAAGAGATGAAAGAAGTCAGTAGAACACCTCCATCTTAGACAGGGTCAAGAAACTGCAACTACTCTCTTCTCCATTACTGATCCATGCAGGGTGTCCGACACCCTGGATGGGGGCCAATATCTGAATACTGACCTACCAACAATGTTTGCAACGGGAAGAGGACCCCTGAGAAATTAGACAGTACAGATGAGATCAAAATTCTGCATAGAGATAAACAAACAAGAACACCAAATGATTTAAGGATTCTTTTTTGCTATTACAACTATGAAGGGTTCCCATGGAGAACATGACACACCACTGCTTCTTGGTTCTTATTGTTTCAGCTTCCTAACCCACCATGGACAAGTGATCCCAATGGGATTATCACACTCACAAACAAGGGAATTTTTTAAGGGCCTGTTTGGAAGGACACCCTGGTAATTGGATTTGGTGTAATTGGTGAAATTACACTGTCTTGTCCTGTTTGGAAGGTCATGAAATTACTTGGTCAGCAGGTAATTGGTGTAATTGGCAGGGGTAATTACACTCTACAATTCATAGGCAGAGGCTGTGAATTGCTGGTGTAATTACCACCTGATTACTTTTTAATTTCTTTTGTTTATTTCTATTTTAATTTTTTTA